TATATACATACATATACAAATACATATATATACACACATACATGTGGTATTATTACTGTAGTAATATTATAGTTTTATTATTATTGTAATTTTAACTTATTATAATTAAAGTATAAGATTATAATGAAAAGTTATTAATATAGTTTCGCGTCTTTTATGGCGTCTTTATCCGTCGTTTTCCGATTAGCAAGCACGTCGTCTTTCTTGCTTGTTCCGCACACAACACACAACTAACTATTTGATGTAGATCAGCTGTTAATTCATAAGTAGGGGCAGAGTTGCATTTTCGTAATTCTTATCCCACATATATATATGAAAATATATATATATATATATATATATATATGAACATATATATATATATTTGGAATTTAATTGAATTTTATTATATGTGTATATGAGAACTCATGTTTTGATGATTTAATGAACTGATTTGTACACAAATCTGATATTAACTGCCACTCTAAAGATTGTAAAGGATGTATTGGCAAACAGTAAAAAAAATATCCTTTGTACGGAAACATTTAGAACAAAAAAAAAAAACAAGGAAATCAAGTTTTTGTAAAACTGTGAAACAAGTGTGAATTGCAATGTTTAACATGTGTCACACAAAACAAAATGTCGGATGCATGCGTCGTTGTCACGTTTCAAACTCATATGCATCATTCCGACAGTGGCTCGTTAGCACAGATTTTATACAGGAAACTCTCCTGAGAATCAATCTCATGAAAAGGATTTGTATGAAATCATAGAAGCAACTGTATTTGACTGTTGAGTTTTCTACAGTTCTTGAAGTATGGTGCGCCCATACTACAGTTCCAGTGGATGTATGACATGTGCCATGGAAAAGAAAATTGTTACCAAACCGCAATAAAACATAACAGCAAGAAAACAATATATGTGGGACTTGTAACTGAAATATGTGTAAAACATCGACACATTCTGATTGATTCCTTTGTACTGGTTAAACACAACAAAAGCAATATTTGCTTCCTAGCGCAAGTAACAAATTTTGTTTCTATTTTTCATTATTTTGCGTTGAACTCGTGTATGTTTTTTGGTTGACATACACTTTTTTAGACAACTGAAAAGCTGCTCTGATAGCTACAACTTTGAATTTAAGTCCCTTTTTTCGAATTTCATCGAGCGGAAATGTGAATGCAAATCATAGAATTTTTAAAATGATGCATGAAATGTCAAAAAAGCACATTGTATGTATGCACGTGTAGTATGAATGTAAGTATATATGATATGAATATAAGAATGTACAGTATTAATGTATGTATGTATAGTATGAATGTAAGTATTTAACACGTAATACCATTGCATGTTAAGTTGTTAAGCGGATATGAAACTTACGTTGCGATTCACTATATATACCTGCATGTCTGTATATGTATAAATGTACATATATATAAAAGTATCTTTAAAGCCTTGATATTTTTTTTTGTGTTGCATTTCAATGTGAAATTGAATTCTGAACAATTCAAATTAATTGCAACTTCAGGCGGTATCAATAAACCACATAATACATGTATTTAAATCAATCAAAAAGCATGAAATTATTATAAATTCTTGTTTTAAATTATTTTTTTGTTCATTTTATTTTAAATAAGAATGCATACTCACCTTTTCATAGTCAGCCTCATTTTTTGTTTGTGTGGGATTCAATAGAGATTGATTACACATGTGTGCGTGACTGAGCAAATCGTCGCCATTTAGCGCACTTCCAGTACTGCCTGCACTACCATCAGCGCCATTTTGTTGACTACAACGTCTCAAACGTGATCGTCGAAATTTTATACAAAAGAATAGATTATCATCTTTTTCATTTGCTTCTGTAATGGGTGTTGCTCTTGGCATAGTTTGATTGGTATCTGCTACGTCCGGCGCAGTTGATGTTGCCAAGGTACTAGGTGAGCAACCCATCTTTAATTATTTTCTGTATATTTCAATATGTATATTCTTAATAAATCGGTGGGTTCCTTAATAAGTAGTTTTATTTTTTTTTTAAAGATCAATAAACTGCTTCTCTTTATTTTTTTTAATTAAATAAATGCATCAGTTTATGCTTAAATTGGTTTAAATTTTTGACTTTATTTGCTGCATACTTTTGGGGTTTTGTTCTGTATAGCAATTCATTCTTTTTTGTGTATTTTTCATTTGGTATGTGTTTAGTTATATAATAAATTAAATTGGTCGTTTTGTTGTCTCCTTCCATATATATCTTTTCTAATATCTATTATTGATTTTTACTGATATATATTTCTGCTTACAATTTTTTGTTTATAAAATACTCTTTGCTATATCAACTTCTTTAAGCTAATTTAGTGTTTAGCTT